TTTTTTTACACGCAAAGCATTAATCTTCAAGTCCGATCTGTTGGAAACATGGCCAAAATGTGAGATGTCAAGGTGATATACGCTCAGTGTAACAAAACGTTGAATGGCGTTGGCTTCGTTTTTCATTTATCCAACAACCTCTAGGTAATCTGCTTGGGGTTTTCCCATTTTTCTCTTTATTTTTTTCGTTGGAACTTTGATATCACACTGACATATCTGCTGTTTGAGTGTACAGAGAAGGTTGAAAGATGTAAGGTTGAAGCTACCCTTGTCATGGAGTATGACCTTGCACAGCCGTCGTTAGGCGATGATATTGGCAATCACATTTTTGATGCGCATTGTTTGTTGAGGGCTAGAAAAATAAGCGGCAGCCACAGTGTCAAACCGTGGCAGCTCCGGTACCAATAAACATGTAAAACGCAGCTGCCAATACTGGCAATCGTCAGCCGCTGGTCTTAGCTCTTGAATCACTATTGAGAGCTGGAACTGCCACGGGTCGACGCGGCAGCAGTTCTTCCAGCTCTCAATAGTGATTACATTACGTGACATTACCCGTCAACAAGCAGTACGTATTGAAAGTTGCCCAGTGTCAGTGACCACGATTGCCGCGGAGAGTATGGTCGTATGACTGGCGATTGCCAACATCAACCGCCCATTAATCGACATTTCGACGGCGATTCAAGGTATACTCTTCAAGTAACACCAACTTAAACTCTTCTTGCTGTAAAATTTTCTCTGGCTATCATCTTAACCGGTCTGATTACCTGTGTACTCCGTTTCTGCTGCCTATCACCGCTCTCCGCATAAGCGAAACAGTGTGTTAATGATACAGTTCGGGGTTTCTCATTTCATTTTGGCTATCGTAAATGATGGCAGCCCTACTTTTATGTGCAAGTTTGCTTGCTGGGACCTGTATACATTCTCCAAATTTTGTTAGCGTAGTGATGATTATTTCAATAACAACCTTTCAGGGGCAGGAGAAGTTTGCCGCATTTTTAATCCAGAAGATTTAGAAAAAAAAGATGACTGTACGGTGCTGTATCTGGATACGTACAAGAACGACTCGTTATCCGTTGACGAAAGGCTTTATGATGTTAATAGTTTCTTGACCCTACTATACTCGTGTGCTAGTCAAAAAGCTTAATTGCATCATTTACTGCAATCAGTAAGCAAAATGAGCAGTGACCTTTTTTTCTGTAGCCGGAAAAGGAACAACATTCATAGCAGCATTTGACTATTCCATTTGACTAGCCCATTACTCTTACCTAATTAGTTTATATCGTGAACCCCACTAAGCTATAAAGTTAGCTGGCTGCCAAAGGTGACTAGTTCTCATTCAATCTAACAAACTTAATTTTGCAGTATATCAAACAATTCAAAGTCTACCAGAAGTTCTTTCTAAGGCACTCACATCTGAAGCAAATTACGGAATTCGACGAGATTAAATTATTAGAAGGTTAAATAACTTGTTTATTGTTGTTTATTTCTTATTTTATAACCAATTCTCACGCAGGAGCTGAAGTTAGCATAACTGAAAATGATGAATTGACAAAGCTTCCAAAATTTAATTGGGATGTGGGGGCCGATGTGCGGATAACTGTCGCTGATAACCACAATTTGGACACTACCGAGCTGAAAGAGACGATTGAAGAAAAGCGGCTCCAACCTATCAACTATCATATCCAGCTTCCGTTTTGTAAGTGCATGATTTTCTGTAGATAAGCAAATACTGGAACTTCATCACGGACTAACGTACATTCCTCACACGGACTTCATCAAAGCGCACTCTCCGCACAGCTTGCACACCACATTCGTCTGGTTGCGCCTGTATACGGCAAAGATTGGTTTCGCTGTGTCAGACGTTCTTCCTGCGTCCGGTAGAGCCCAAAGAGTGCAGCTTTTCTACAAGAAGGAGAAGTTTGAATTTCTAGTCATGACAATAAAATATGTTAGTTTCTTTGCAAACTCTTGAAAGAAAAGATGGGGCAACAAGAACTACAGCATCATTACTACTGCTAGACTCACTTCCAAATGTTCTGATATGAACGAATTCAAGCGGTTACTTTATCATCCACTTCTTCTCATACTCACTCGACAAAAGATACTATATTGAAGTTCTTTCGGCCTTTAAGCCTCATAAATTATGTGCATAGCTCTTGCCATTCTTAGACCCTTCTCTTGCCTAATCTATATATATATATATATATAAAGCAGAAAGTCTGTATGGATGTATGTATGTATGTGTGCAGCATGTATGTATGTATGTATGTATGTATGTATGTATGTATGTATGTATGTATGTATGTATGTATGTA